TTGCCACTCCTCTCTTGCCACTCCTCTCTTGCCACTCCTCTCTTGCCACTCCTCTCTTGCCACTCCTCTCTTGCCACTCCTCTCTTGCCACTCCTCTCTTGCCACTCCTCTCTTGCCACTCCTCTCTTGCCACTCCTCTCTTGCCACTCCTCTCTTGCCACTCCTCTCTTGCCACTCCTCTCTTGCCACTCCTCTCTTGCCACTCCTCTCTTGCCACTCCTCTCTTGCCACTCCTCTCTTGCCACTCCTCTCTTGCCACTCCTCTCTTGCCACTCCTCTCTTGCCACTCCTCTCTTGCCACTCCTCTCTTGCCACTCCTCTCTTGCCACTCCTCTCTTGCCACTCCTCTCTTGCCACTCCTCTCTTGCCACTCCTCTCTTGCCACTCCTCTCTTGCCACTCCTCTCTTGCCACTCCTCTCTTGCCACTCCTCTCTTGCCACTCCTCTCTTGCCACTCCTCTCTTGCCACTCCTCTCTTGCCACTCCTCTCTTGCCACTCCTCTCTTGCCACTCCTCTCTTGCCACTCCTCTCTTGCCACTCCTCTCTTGCCACTCCTCTCTTGCCACTCCTCTCTTGCCACTCCTCTCTTGCCACTCCTCTCTTGCCACTCCTCTCTTGCCACTCCTCTCTTGCCACTCCTCTCTTGCCACTCCTCTCTTGCCACTCCTCTCTTGCCACTCCTCTCTTGCCACTCCTCTCTTGCCACTCCTCTCTTGCCACTCCTCTCTTGCCACTCCTCTCTTGCCACTCCTCTCTTGCCACTCCTCTCTTGCCACTCCTCTCTTGCCACTCCTCTCTTGCCACTCCTCTCTTGCCACTCCTCTCTTGCCACTCCTCTCTTGCCACTCCTCTCTTGCCACTCCTCTCTTGCCACTCCTCTCTTGCCACTCCTCTCTTGCCACTCCTCTCTTGCCACTCCTCTCTTGCCACTCCTCTCTTGCCACTCCTCTCTTGCCACTCCTCTCTTGCCACTCCTCTCTTGCCACTCCTCTCTTGCCACTCCTCTCTTGCCACTCCTCTCTTGCCACTCCTCTCTTGCCACTCCTCTCTTGCCACTCCTCTCTTGCCACTCCTCTCTTGCCACTCCTCTCTTGCCACTCCTCTCTTGCCACTCCTCTCTTGCCACTCCTCTCTTGCCACTCCTCTCTTGCCACTCCTCTCTTGCCACTCCTCTCTTGCCACTCCTCTCTTGCCACTCCTCTCTTGCCACTCCTCTCTTGCCACTCCTCTCTTGCCACTCCTCTCTTGCCACTCCTCTCTTGCCACTCCTCTCTTGCCACTCCTCTCTTGCCACTCCTCTCTTGCCACTCCTCTCTTGCCACTCCTCTCTTGCCACTCCTCTCTTGCCACTCCTCTCTTGCCACTCCTCTCTTGCCACTCCTCTCTTGCCACTCCTCTCTTGCCACTCCTCTCTTGCCACTCCTCTCTTGCCACTCCTCTCTTGCCACTCCTCTCTTGCCACTCCTCTCTTGCCACTCCTCTCTTGCCACTCCTCTCTTGCCACTCCTCTCTTGCCACTCCCCTCTCGCCACTCCCCATCTCCTCACCCCTTCAATGCTCAGCACTCACACACTCTGTGGCACCTCTGCCCACACCCTCTGCCCACACCCTCTGCCCACACCCTCTGCCCACACCCTCTGCCCACACCCTCTGCCTCGTGCATTGAGGTCGTTTTTGAGGCGCCTCAAAAACGACCTCAACACACCCTCTGCCTCGTTCTTGCCGTTTCCCCGTCGCCCATCCCCCTATTCACAGCTTTGTAACCGATTCGGCACATTATAATAATCTGCATCTGTAGTTGCTTTCAGATTCTCTGGCTTCCCGTCTTTGGCCTCTAGAGGTCTTTTTCTCATTGCCAGTTTTAATATATACCCCCCTCCTCTCACCCTTCCTTCCCCTCTTCTCTGCCCATTCCCCCTCTCAGCGCAGCGACCTGAGCTCCAATCTCTTCAACCAGCAGTTGGACGGCTTTCTCTTCTTCTCTTTGGCGCCTCAAACAACGTCAATTCTAATCCCTTCCTCCCCATCTCCCCGCCACTCTCCCCCCCTCCCTCCCCACACAGTGATCTGAGCTACAATCTCTTCGATCAGCAGTTGGACGGCTTTCTCTCTTTGAGGCGCCTCAAGAAACGTCTGATCCATTCCCTCCCTCCCTCCTCACCTCCACGCAGCGACCTGAGCTCCAATCTCTTCAATCAGCAGTTGGACGGCTTTCTCTCCGACGTCTACTCGCTCACTCAACTCAAGCAGCTGTACGTCTCATCTCGTATAGTTTGCGGGGTAGACGCTTTTTTTTGCTGTCTCAATATCCTGCCTGTCCCTCTCTCCGACGTCTACTCGCTCACTCAACTCAAGCAGCTGTACGCCTCATCTCTTAAAAGCTGAGTGGGAGACGATTTCTGAGTCATCTCAGAAATTCGTATCCTTGGGGTGGCGATTCTGATGGAACCCCACTTAAGAGGCATATCGTTGCGTGGCAGCGGCTTTTGAGCTGACTTTTGAGTCGACTCAAAAGTCAGCTCGATTTCTGAGTCATCTCGGAAATTCGTATCCTTGGGGTGGCGATTCTGAATAGCGTTCTCTCCAACTTGTTCTCGTCTCGCTCACCCAACACAAGCAGCCGTGCATCTCATCCCATAAAGCAGGCAATTTTCATGTGCAGCATCGCCACTCACCCTGAACCGATCCCCCATGTTCTTTCGTCCTTCTCTTCTCCCTGGCCCTGCATGCAGGCTTCTCGGTTACAACTGGTTCTATGGCTCAGTCCCCACCACCATCTCTCAGCTCTCCAAACTAACTGGATTGTGAGCCATGTCACGCATGCCATCCCCCTTCTCAATGCCTTCAACCCTGTACTCTGCAGTGACTTCGGCTCCTTCTCACCCCCCTCCTTCGCTCCTCCACCATTCCCCACCACTCCCAACCAACCCCCATCACCCGTCACCACTCCCCACCACCCCCCACCAGGTCCCTCTTCTCCAACTACCTCACCGGCTCGCTCCCCTCACTCCCCTCCTCCCTCCGCGCCCTAGACATCGCCTACAATTTCCTCTCCGGCTCGCTCCCCACCCTCCCCTCCTCCCTCTCCCACTGCGCCGCCGAACACAACTGCCTTATCCCCGCCGCCGCCGCTCCCTGCGCTCGCTTCGGCTCCACCCAACGGCCTGCAGCTGTGGCGGGAGCTACAACAGCGTCGGCAACTGAGCGGTGTGCGGTGTGCGGGATGGGAACGGCGACAGAAGCAAACGGGTGCTTTGATGGGGAGTGTGTGGTGACCGTCGCCCCAGTGGTAGCTCAAGGGGGGCCAAACGGGCCGGCTCAAGCAGTGCTTAACATGCAGTGCTCAGGTGTGTATGTTGGGTGTGCTGAATCTGCAGGCCGTCTCAAGCAGTGCTGGATATGCAGTGTTCGAGTGACTTACGCGTCGACTCAAAGTGTGCTGTGTGTGCTGTATGTGCTGTATGTGCTGTGTGTGCTGAAAGTCGGTGAGGATGTGTGCTCAAGTGACTCTTTTATCATGACTCCGCTCGTGCTCGTTTTCGTCTCTGCAACTCGCTGTCCTTCCACCCACCCCGGCCCCACCCACATCCTTTCACTCCCCTCCCATCCCCACCCGCCCACCCACATTCTTGATTGTGCCCCAAGCAGGCAGCTCACAAACCTCAATGGCTGATGCTACAGGTGAGAGCAATTGGATACCTGACAGATGAAATGTGTGAGATGAAACGCATTAGAGAAGAAATGTGTGAGATGAAACGTATTAGAGATGAAGCTTGTCCAAGATGAAACGTATCTGCCCTGCTTTGCTCTCCTCTCCCCTCCCCCTCTCCCATTCCTTTGCTTACCCCACCTGTTCCCCCCCCACCTGTTCCTCTCCTCTCCCGCTCCCTGTTTCCCCACCTGTAATCCCCCCCCACATCTCTCTGCTACCCCCCTCGCATTCCTTTCCTCCCCTCCACACTTATACCCCAGTGACGGCTCTTCTTGCTCTCAAGAGCGCATTGGGAGTGACGGCCACGTTATGTGGCAGTGGGGCGTGCACGGTGGAGGGATTCTCTGCAATGCTCCCCCTCCCATTCCTTTCCCCAACTCTTCTTATTCCCACAGTGGTGGCTCTTCTATCGCTCAAGAGCGCGTTGGGAGTGACGGCCACATCATGGGGCAGTGGGGCGTGCACGGTGGAGGGATACACCTCGGGCTCTGACTGGCTTGGTGTTGCGTGCGACTACCAAGGGAACGTCCTTTCCATGTCAGTTCACTCGCTTGACTTGGTTGGCTCAGTTCATTCGCTTGACTCCATTGACTCGCTTGACTCGCTTGATTTCATTGACTCTGATGATTCGGTTTATTTGGTTGAATCGGTTGGCTCGGTTGACTTGGTTGACTTTGCTGACTCGCTTGACTTTATTCGCCATTCCCCATGCCCCATGCCGTGCCCCGTTCCCCATGCCCCATGACCCTTACCCCATACCCCACGCCCCACGTCCCATGCCCGATCCCGTTTCCTTCCAACCAATGACTTGACGAATCAGAAGCTTAAGGGTCCATGGCATCGAATGTCAGCACCCACATCGCTCATCCTATGTGCTGCCATTCTCCCCATACCACATACCCTTGCCTCATGCTGCACTCCCTTCCCAGTGACTTGACGAGCCAGAAGCTTAAGGGGTCCATGGCATCTGATGTCAGCACTCTCACATCGCTCACTCGCCTGTACGTCCGCCTTACCTTGTTCACTCAAGGGGTCCATTGTCAGAGGATCTGCACTGGGGATCCCTGATTGATCATAGGGAAGGGTTACTTGTGTAAGCTTGGGAGGTTATGGCCTAGGCCATCCTCGCATGGACGAGGACAGTCACGGCGTGCGACTTGGCTTACACATCCACCTCTTCTGGGCGCCTCTTCCCTCCTTCGTGTCCCCCCCTCTCCCCAACTCCCCCCCCTAATACCCCTACCCCATTTTCCCCTTCCCCATGCCCCTTTACCGCGCTCTCTGCAGCACCTTCGACAGCAACCTGTTCTGGGCGCCTCTAGCTTCCTTTGTCTCCTACTTCTCCTCTCTCTCCAACCTCGTCGTGCTGTGAGTGCTTTTTGATAAAAGAGTTGTTTTGAGACGTCTCAAAACAACTCTCTCCAACCTCGTCGGACTGTGAGTGCTCTTAGCATCTCAGCGGCTTTCTGATAGTCACCCTCCCTTGCAACCGGCTATATGGCACACCACCCTCCTCCCTGCTCAACCTAACCTCCCCACCTGACCTTTGAGTCGATTCAAAAATCACCTTCCGCCACCCTATCTGTTCCCCCCCCATTTGTCCCCAACCTTGCCAACCCACCCTGCCACCCCACCCTGCCACCCCACCCTGCCACCCCACCCTGCCACCCCACCCTGCCACCCCACCCTGCCACCCCACCCTGCCACCCCACCCTGCCAACCCACCCTGCCCCACCCCACCCTGCAGCGACCTGCAATACAACTGGTTCTACGGCACGCTTCCTGCCTACCTGCTCAACCTCCCCAGCCTCACCAGTCTGTGAGTCCCTCTCCCGGCTATGTGCGGCCCTCTCTGTGCTTCGCTCTGCCTCCCACACACATCGCTGCTTGCTTGCTCTCTCTTCTTCCCAGCCTAACCAGACTGCAACCCCCATCTGTGACCACTCCCTTCCACTTCCTTCCACTCGCTTCCCCACTCCCTTCCCCACTCCCTTCCCCACTCCTTCCCTTGCCCTCCTCACCCAATTTTTTCTCCGTCCCTCTCCCTTTCCCTTCTCTTTCCTCCTCTCCTTTTCCCCTCCCGCTCCTTTCTCCACCTCCACAGAGCCCTTGGAGGCAACTACCTAACAGGCACCGTACCCGTTTTTGAGTCGACTCAAAAACAGGCTCCCCACAAAGCCCTTGGAGGCAACTACCTAACAGGCACCGTACCCGTTTTTGAGTCGACTCAAAAACAGGCTCCCCACAGAGCCCTTGGAGGCAACTACCTAACATACACCGTACCCAAGCCCACTTCAACCACTCTCTCCAAGCTCACACTCACCCAAAACCTCGTCTGCCGCTCCCTTTGTCAACTCCCCTCTCTGCCTCTGTCTCTCTCCCCACAGAGCCCTTGGAGGCAACTACCTAACAGGCACCGTACCCAAGCCCACTTCAACCACTCTCTCCAAGCTCACACTCACCCAAAACCTCTTCTGCCGCTCCCTTTGCCAACTCCCCTCTCTGCCTCTGTCTCTCTCCCCACAGAGCCCTTGGAGGCAACTACCTAACAGGCACCGTACCCAAGCCCACCTCAACCACTCTCTCCAAGCTCACACTTACCCAAAACCTCTTCTGCCGCTCCCTTTGCCAACTCCCCTCTCTGCCTCTGTCTCTCTCCCCACAGAGCCCTGGGAGGCAACTACCTAACAGGCACCGTACCCAAGCCCACCTCAACCACTCTCTCCAAGCTCACACTCACCCAAAACCTCTTCTGCCGCTCCCTTTGCCAACTCCCCTCTCTGCCTCTGTCTCTCTCCCCACAGAGCCCTTGGAGGCAACTACCCAACAGGCACCGTACCCAAGCCCACCTCAACCACTCTCTCCAAGCTCACACTCACCCAAAACCTCTTCTGCCGCTCCCTTTGTCAACTCCCCTCTCTGCCTCTGTCTCTCTCCCCACAGAGCCCTGGGAGGCAACTACCTAACAGGCACCGTACCCAAGCCCACTTCAACCACTCTCTCCAAGCTCACACTCACCCAAAACCTCTTCTGCCGCTCCCTTTGTCAACTCCCCTCTCTGCCTCTGTCTCTCTCCCCACAGAGCCCTTGGAGGCAACTACCTAACAGGCACCGTACCCAAGCCCACTTCAACCACTCTCTCCAAGCTCACACTCACAGGCAACTTCCTCTCGGGCTCGGTCCCCTCGCTGCCCTGTAGCTTCTGCGAAGCCACTCGGAACTGCCTCTCGAATTCCGTCTCATGCAGTTCGTCGGGCACGACACAAAGGAGTACGGGGTGTACCTTTTGTGGGTTAACAAGCGGGACGGGAACGCTATGCGGGGGCACGAAGGCGTGTCAGCCGAACGCAAGTGGGCCCCTTGCACAGGAAACGCCGAACACTGCTAGCTCGCCTCTGCTCAGCTTGACTTGCGTGTAAATTATGCGGGCCCTTTTTTGTGTTCATCTTGGTTTGGAAATTGTACAGTGATTCTTTAGAACATGAGTTGAGTATTGGACAGTGTATTGGCCAGTGTATTGGACAGTTTATTGGCCGGCCAGTGTATTGGCCTGTGTATTGGCCATTTGAGCCACCTTGGCTTTTCGTCTTGATTGGATTGCCACAAACGAGCTGTGAATCCAAAGCAAACCGTAGCCCTGTTTCGCCGCAGCGCTTGACTGACATTCCATGCATCGCCTCGCATGCATTTGCAAGTGCCCTGTGTAAAATTAGGGTCTATTATTACTGTGCACTAGCACATACGTACGAGGTGAGGTGACTACAAAACAGTGACTACGCAACATGCAAAATCTTCATGTCATTCTACTGTGCGGTTGACAATTCCTGACCACTCTAGCAACTTTACTTAATTCCCATTTCCATGTTTTTTTTTTTTCACCTAGTGTAAGTGTTCTTTTGTTTCAATTTGATCTTCCATTGCAATTGATTATCAGAACACGCCATGACGAGGCTTGCTTGCGTGCTGCAACTTGTAAGATCATCGTGCTTCATTTCAAACTGTACAGTAACATTGATTTCCATTGGCGCAACTACAGGAACACCCAGTATCTCGGTTTTGGTAGAAGCATTCCCATCGGGTGAGCATTACAGGTGGAGCAAGAGGAGGGGGTGGGGAGGGAGGAGGACGAGGAGGAGAGGGGGGAGGGAAAGGAGGAGGAGAGGGTGGTGGTTGTGGAGGGGAAGGAGGAGGAAGGGGAGGGGGGGAAGGTGGTGGGTTGGGTGGGGAGGGAGGAGGAAGGGGAGGGGGGGAGGGTGGGGGATTAGGTGGGGAGGGAGGAGGATAGGGAGGAGGGGAGGGTGGTGGATCGGGCGGGGAGGGAGGAGGATGGGGAGGGGGGGGAGGGTGGGGGATCAGGTGGGGAGGGAGGAGGATAGGGAGGAGGAGAGGGTGGTGGTTTTGGAGGGGAGAGAGGAGGTGATTGGGAGAGAGGGAATTGAGAAAGCGAGACGGAAAGAGGGGGTGAAGGTGGGGAGGGAGGGGAGGGTGCAGGAGTAGCTTCAGGAGGGGAGGGAGGAGGAAGGGAAGGTGGTGTATCAAGCGAGTTGGGAGGGGAAGGTGGGGGTGGTGGTGATGGTGTTGGTGATGGTGGTTGGGAAGTGGAGTGGGGAGGTGAGTCAGAAAGCGGGGGTGATGGAGGGGCGGGCGGGGAGGGAAGCGGAGGTGCCGTTGTTTCAAGAGGAGAAGGGGGAGAGAGAGGAGGAGAAGGTGGGGAGGGTGGTGCATTGGGAATGACAGGAGGGGAGGGTGGGGGTGATGGTGAAGGTGGTGGAGGAGAGGAGAGGGGAGCTGGGGCAGAGTGGGGAGGTGATGGGGGGGAGGTAGGGGGGAAGAGCGGAGGGGTAGCTGCTTCAGGATGGGAGGGGGATGGGAGAGGAGGAGAAGGTGGGGAGGGTGGTGAGATAGGAGCGAGGGAGGGTGGTGAGATAGGAGCGAGGGAGGGTGGTGAGATAGGAGCGAGGGAGGGTGGTGAGATAGGAGCGAGGGAGGGTGGTGAGATAGGAGCGAGGGCGGGTGGTGCATTGGGCGTGTTGGGAGGGGAGGGTGGGAGTGATAGAGATGGTGGCAGGGGAGAGGAGAGGGGAGGTGAGGGAGAGAGGGGAGGGGAGGCAGAGAGGGGAGAGGAGGCAGGGAGGGGAGAGGAGGCAGGGAGTTGAGGGGAGGCAGAGAGAGAGGAGGTGAGGCAGGGAGGGGAGGTGATGGGGGGTAGGGTGGAGGGGGAACGGGAGGAGTTGCTGCAGCTGTTGCCCCGGGAGGGGAGGGGGGAGGGGGAGGTGGAGGTGATGGGGGGGCCTGGGATGGAGCAGGCGAAGGGGGATTGGGTGTGGCGGAGGGGAGGGAGGGGGGGGATGGTGGGGGAGGTGAGAGAGGCGGAGGAGGGGAGAGAGTGAGGGAGGGTGGAGGGGAAGGAGGGGATGGAGTGGGAGGTGTTGGAGGGGTGGGGGTTGGAGGAGGGGAGGATGGGGAAGGTGGGTAGGGTGGGGAAGGAGGAGAGAGGGGGAAAGGAGGAGAGGGGAGGGAAGGTGGCTGGGGGGGTGGCAGCGGGCTTGCTGTGGGTCAGACAGGGTCATGCACAGAAACAGGCAGGGGCAGGGATGATGGGGAAGCATGTGGGCAGACGGGAAGATGGGACAAGGAAGAGAGAGAGAGTGTTAATGCAAGGCGTTGGGGGAGTGATAGGGACAAATGAGCTTTGCTTGCAGGGGCATAGGGCGTAATGTAATGCACATGTTGAGATGCAAACTCCAGCGGGGAGCTTATGCAGAGTAGAAAACATGGGCAGACTTATAACATCAGCAGCACCAGCTGATGTTGCCAGTGCTTATAACATCAGCAGCACTGGCAACACCAGCAACACCAGCAACACCAGCACCAACACCACAAGCAGCAGCACAAGCACCGGAGCACACACAACACCGCACGCATCCCACTACCATTCTGAACACATACCCCCCGCATCACCTCTCTGAGTGCACGTCATGCGATCAGCAGACAGAAAGTACCCTAACAAGGAGCTGAAACCCATGCAGCGGACCCCATACCCCATCATCCCGCTACATTTCAGAGTGCACGTCATGCGATCAGCAGACAGCACGTATCGTGACGAGGAGCAGGTACACAGAGCATATTGCATAGCTTGCAATGGTACGATGCAGCACACCCACACACAACACCTCATCCATCCCCTCACCTTTCAGAGTGCACATCATGCGATCAGCAGACAGCACATATCTCGAGGAAGGGCAGACGCACCCAAACGCCACCTGCGCCTGCTGCTGCCCCTGCTGCTGCTGCTTTCCCCCCGCCCCCGCCCATTTCCCTGCTCCAGCGCCCCCCACAGTAGCCGCAGGAGGGGGAGGAGGGTACGAGACAGTAGCCAGGCACGTCCCAGCACCATTCCCACACTGGGAGTTGACAACCCCACTGTTAACCCCAACGTTTGCACCACTGTTAGGCCCAATGTTAGCACCAATGTTGGCCCCTCCGTTAGCCCCGGTGAGGGATCCTGAGCTCACACTCGCCCCAAGTGGGCTGAAGCTCGTTCCGCAGAAGCTGAGGCACTGGGAGGCGGGCCGCTGCTGTTGAATCACGCTCTGTATTGTCACAAGAGCAGGAGGAGGCGGAGGGGGAGGGCGTGCTGGTGGTGGTGCTGGCGACTTCCGTGGGGATTTTCTTTTTGGTTGTGGCTTGCGGGTTCTTCTGCCTGCTGCTGCTGTGCGTGCGTGTGTGTGTACAGCTGCCAGGCTCCTAGCTGACCCTGACAAGCCGTGAGCCAACTCAACTGCCCTTTCCATCTCCACACGTGCAAGGCCCTTTTCTGGCTCTAACGGGTCATGAGCCGGGTCAAGAGTTGCTATGCTTTCCAAATGCCGCCGGCCGGTATCTACCTGCTCTTGACTGGGAGCAGTCTCCGCCTCTTCTTGCCTCCCAACTATGTGAGAAATCTCTTCTGTTTTTCCTCCCTCTGCCAGCCCATCTATACGCAGCACCCTCCCTCCTCCCCTCCCTCTTCTGCTACGTTGCCTGCTGCGCTGCCTGCTGCCTCCCCCTCGCCCCAACGGCCCCAGCAGTTCATTCCCCATGCTGTGGTTGATCCACCGCCCCCCTGTCCGCCTCATCCCCCCTCCCACCCCACCTCTCACCATCCTCCCCTGCCGCATCTCCCCTGGTCTCAATCCCTCTAACCTCATCCCCTCTAGTTGCATCCCCTTCTGTTGCTTTCTCCGCTTCCCCCCATGCCCTACCAGGGCCATCCTCTCTCTGTGTCTGGACAAGCCCTCCTCCTCCTCAGTGCCAACAGAAGCCAGGTAGGCGAGGGCAGGAGCAGAAGGTCTCTGATTTCTCTCACGCCCCATCAACTCCATCCTCTCTCTGTGACTCAACGAACCACCCTCCTGTTCATCTGAATGGGAAGCTGGATAGGAAAGGGCAGGGGCAGAGGGCTCCTGAACTGCTTCAGAAGAGCCCTGCTGTAGACTCTGCTTTCGCTCATGGCCCACTAACTCCATGCTCCCCCTATGTCCCACTGAACCACCCTCCTCCTCCTCCTCGTCTGTCAGAGATGCTGGACGGGCACTGAGAGGGGCAACGGGTCTGTCAGGCGAGTATTGAGGGGAGTGTTGAGGGGAGTGTTGAGGGGAGTGTTGAGGGGAGTTAGACAACTTTTGGGTTGACGGGAACGATGTGTCGGGGGGATTTCGGGCCGGCTCAGAAGCGACTTGCTCTCGTTTCCGCCGTCTCCTGTGCCCCACTGCCTCCTCCTCCTCCACCCTCTCTCTGTGCCAAGACGGCAGCAGTGTGCCGTCATGATGGGACAGCACATGCACATGTGATGGGTGAGGGTGGGACACCACATGCGCATGCGACACAGGGCCGGGCCGGGGCAGGTGGTGAGAGGGGTGATGGGCATGCCCAACAGTCTCCTTCTCCGCCAGCACTGCCTGTCGCCCCTGCTCCTGCTGCTGCTCCTCTTCACGTCCTAGCATCTCCGCCCTCTCCCTGTGCCCCGAGAAACCCATGTATGCAGCCTCTGCTGCCCTGCTTTCCTCTGCTGCTCTGCTTTCCTCTGCACGGGAGGCCACATGCACATGAGGTGCTGACACACGGCCCGGGGCAGCAGGAAATGCCTCCTCTTGATGCGCCTCAGAAGGTGCTGCCTGTCGCTGCTGCTGCTCCCCCTCTTCACGCCCCAGCATCTCCGCTCTCTCCCTGTGCCCTGAAAAAACAGCCCTGTTCTCATCTTCGTGGGTGGCTGCATGGTCAACGCCGCCACCAGATGCCACCTCCCCTTGTTGCGATTTAAGAGGCGCCTCAAAAACAGGGTCGCCACCAGAAGTCATCTCCCCCTGAGAGGTCACCCCCCCCTGATACGCCGCAAATCGTACTGCCTGCTGCCCCCGCTGCTCCCCTCCACGCCCCAGCATCTCCGCCCTCGCCCTGTGCCCTGAAAAAGCAGCCCTGATCTCATCTTCGTGGGTGGCTGCATGGATAGGGTCGCCACCAGACGCCATCTCCCCATCATGCGCCTCAGATCGTACTGGCTGTTGCTCCCACTGCTCCTTCTCATCACGCCCTAGCATCTCCGCCCTCTCCCTGTGCCCAGGGAAGTACAGCCTTCCTTCGTCTACTTGTGAGGCCGGATGGTCAGCAGCGGCAGCACCAGAAATCATTCCCCCCTCATGCGCCTCCGAAGGTGCTGCCTGTCGCTTCTGCTGCTCCCTCTCCTCACGCCCCAGCATCTCCGCTCTCTCCCTGTGCCCGAGAAACGCAGCTCGTAACTGTTCTTCATACGATGGCAGGGAGGAGCGGCCATGACGAGAGGAAGCTTCAGGGTGAGCAGTGGTGGTGGCATGAGCATGCTCCTGCTGTTGAGACGACTCAAGAGTAACCATCAGATGAGCAGTGGTGGCATCAGCGCTAGACCCTGGCTGCCGCTCCCTATTCTCCTCTTCACGCCCTAGCATCTCCGCACGCTCCTTGTGTCTAAACAAGACCCCTCCCACACTGTGTTCGTGGGATGACTCAGAGGCGTGGACATGAGGAGAGGAGGTAAGAAAGTCAGCAGTGGTGGTGGCATGAACAGAATGCGATTCTCGCCTCTTCTCCTCTTCACGCCCTACCATCTCCGCCCTCTCCTTGTGTCCGAGAAAGCCCGCTCTCTCTTCAACAGCAGCACTGGCTCTGCTGCTGCTGCTGCTGCTGCTGCTGCTGCTGCTGCTGCTGCTGCTGCCGCCAATAGCTGCTGCTGCTGCTGCTGCTGCTGGTGTGAATTCGTTGGACAGAAATGCTGACGCTGCTGCTATCCATGTCCCCAATACTGCTGATTCGAACGTTGCCGAAACCACCATCACCACCACCACCGTCACCACCACCACCGCTGCTGCTGCTCATCATACCAACGCTTCTGGTCGCAACAGCCCCATCACCAGCACCACCACTGCTACCACCACCATCCCCACCAGCATCACACACAGAAGCGTCAAACGTGAGGCAGTTATAGGCGGTGCGGACGGTGAGGGAGAGCGAGGGGCAGATGGGGGTGCCGGAGGCATCGAGGGGCACAGCGGGACCGAAGAAGAAGTTGGAGGAGAGGTCGAGAGAGAGGAGGGCGGAGGCAGAGGGGAGCGTGGGGAGGAGACCCGTGAAGTAGTTGTGCGATAGGTTGCTGGTGGGTGGTGGGGAGGAGAGGGGGGGCGAGAGGGATGAATTGGAGCTTGGGAAAGCAAGGCACAGTCACCTCAAAGCACAATTGATACTATGAGCTATAAGCTGACTGTGTTTTGCTTTCCCAGAAGCAAGACTACAAAAATTCTTTTCATAATTCTGAGGTGTGTTTTTTTTTTTTTTTTTTTTTTATTAATTATAAATATATATATATATATATTTTTTCCAGCCGTTTGGGATGGCTGTTGAGTCGACTCAAAGCTCACAGGGTGACACGAGGGACGAGGCGAGGTTTGAAACAACTGTGATGCGAGGAAGATGCGAGGAGTTGATTTTTGAGGCGCCTCAAAAATCAACTGGCGAGGTGCGAGGTGCAAGGTGCGAGGTGCGAGGTGCAAGGTGCAAGTGATGTGGAATGGGAGAGTTGATGAGGCCTCACAGTTCCACGAGAGAGGAGAGGTGGTTGATGATCGTGGCTGGCGCACCGGTGAAGGCATTTGAAGAGATGTCCCTGGTGATCATGGGTAGAGGGGGCGTGATGGGAGGGAGGGCGGGCTAGGCAGTCACACTTGAAGCTGAAATACACACTCACAGCAGGCCAGCACAGCACAGCACAGCACAGCACAGGACAGGACAGCACAGCACAAAACAGCGAAGGACACAGACGATGGATTAGAGAAGCACTCACAGAGTGTGCAGCAGAGAGCAGGTGGCCAGTGACGCTGGCAGTTGGCGGTGCAGCTGGTTCTGACTCAAACGACTGGAGGGGAGGGAAGGGGGGAGAGAGGAGGGAAAGGGGGGAAGGAAGGGAGAGGAGGGGCGATGAATGCCATGAAACGAGATGTGATGCGATGGGGAGTGAGCGCGGTGCTTCAGAGGCATCGTTTTGCATGCCTTGTGATGCGATTGGGAACCAAGGAGGAGGAAAGCTTTTGAGAATTCTCAAAAGGAGGAGGAAAGGAAAGCGTGGTGGTGAGCGAGAAACGATGCATCACTCCCCTGATGCCGATGATGCCATGCTTGCACGATGCTGGTGGTGGCGTCGTGCTCACATGATGCTGACATCACGCTCGCATGATGCTGACGTCACGCTCGCATGATGCTGACGTCACTCTCACATGATGCTGACGTCACACTCACATGATGACGTCACGGTCACATGATGCTGACGTCACACTCACATGATGCTGATGTCAGGCATGGAGTTGGTGAAAATGGGAGGGAGGCTCCCTGACAGCTGATTGGCTGACAGGTCTCTGTGTGGGGTTGGGGGAGGCGAGGAAGAGAGGGGGGAGGGGAGGGGAGGGGGAGGGGGGGGTACCAGGAAAGCGGGAGGTGGGCGGTGAGGAGGGAGAGGGATAGGTGGGGGAGGAGGGGAGGGAGGATAGAGAGCATGGTTGACCCATTCTGGAAGGCATGACACAGGAATGTGTGAGTGAGCAAGGGGAGAGCAGTAAGGTTGGGCGTGCAAGTTAGTAGGAGTGGTAAGGTGGAAGGGCAAGGAGGGTGGATGAATTATGAAGAGAGCGAGGAGAAGTCGATTTTTGAGTCGACTAAAAAATCGACTTATCACACACGAAAGGTTGGGCGTGCAAGTTAGTAGGAGTGGTAAGGTGGGAGGTCAAGGAGAGGAGAGTGAATGAATGATGAAGAGAGCGAGGAGAGGAGAAGGGAGGTGGGGCGAAGAAAGTGGGGGGGGCTCACATTTCGTAGAGAGAGACGAGGGAGGAGAGGGCGGATGGGATGGGGCCTTGGAAGGAGTTGCCGTTGAGTAACCTGCGCAGCACAGCAGCACAGAGGTTCGATCACATGTGACGGCAGCACAGAGGGGCGGAAATGAGGGGAGGGGGAGCGGTGAGGTGAGGGTGAGAGATGGATGGGCTCTTTAGTGGACTCAGCAATCAGATCAGATGGGATGGGGCCTTGGAAGGAGCTGAGCTGCCATTGAGTAACCTGCACAGCAGCACAGAGAGTCACGCAGATACGACGGCAGCACAGAGGGGTGGAAATGGGGTGAGGTGTGAGAGATGGGAGAGGGATGGGTTCTTGAGTCGACTCACACCCTCAATGAGGTGTGAGAGATGGGAGAGGGATGGGTTCTTGAGTCGACTCACACCCTCAATGAGGTGTGAGAGATGGGAGAGGGATGGGTTCTTGAGTCGACTCACACCCTCAATGAGGTGTGAGAGATGGGAGAGGGATGGGTTCTTGAGTCGACTCACACCCTCAATGAGGTGTGAGAGATGGGAGAGGGATGGGTTCTTGAGTCGACTCACACCCTCAATGAGGTGTGAGAGATGGGAGAGGGATGGGTTCTTGAGTCGACTCACACCCTCAATGAGGTGTGAGAGATGGGAGAGGGATGGGTTCTTGAGTCGACTCACACCCTCAATGAGGTGTGAGAGATGGGAGAGGGATGGGTTCTTGAGTCGACTCACACCCTCAATGAGGTGTGAGAGATGGGAGAGGGATGGGTTCTTGAGTCGACTCACACCCTCAATGAGGTGTGAGTCGACTCATTGATTGGAGGGAATGGGCACTTGAAACGGGTTACATTGAGTAGGCTGCACAGCAGCACAGAGGTTCAGTCAGATATGATGCGGTAGTTATGGAACAGGTGATGTGCTGTGTGATGTGTCATGACCAATGTGCGATGATGCGAGGGAGGTGTGCTTACAGCAGATGTGCTAACAGCAGGTGTGCTTACAGCAGGTGTGCTTACAGCAGGTGTGCTTACAGCAGGTGTGCTTACAGCAGGTGTGCTTACAGCAGGTGTGCTTACAGCAGGTGTGCTTACAGCAGGAGTGCTTACAGCAGGTGTGCTTACAGCAGGTGTGCTTACAGCAGGAGTGCTTACAGCAGGAGTGCTTACAGCAGGTGTGCTTACAGCATGTGTGCTTACAGCAGGTGTGTTTACAGCAGGTGTGCTTACAGCAGGTGTGCTTACAGCAGGTGTGCTTACAGCAGGTGTGCTTACAGCAGGAGTGCTTACAGCAGGTGTGCTTACAGCAGGAGTGCTCACAGCAGGTGTGCTTACAACGAGGAGAGTTCTTGCAGAGAAGAGATGCCTTCAGGGATGGAGCCGGAAAGGAGGTTGCGGGAGAGATCTCTGATTGGGGCAGGCAGACATGGGTGGGCGTATGAAAGAGAATTTGAGTTTGAAAGAGACTTTGAGTTTGAGACTTTGAGTTGGCTCAAAGTAATCTCGAGGAGCAGAGAGGCCAACAGGGATGGAGCTGGGAAGGAGGTTGCGGGATGGGGTCGGTGGGAGGAGTATGAAAGAGGGTGTTATAAGCAAATTTCGAGTCAACTCAAAAGTCACCTTGGGGTCGGTGGGAGTATGAAAGAGGGTGTTATAAGCAAATTTCGATCTTCGAGTGTTATAAGAGGGTGAGTCGACTCAAAATTCATTTTGAATTGAAGAGAAGGCAGTGGGGATGGATGGAGGTGTGAGGGGGAGTGAGGCGAGATGTTTGCGAAAGTGCTGAATGCTGTTGTAAGCAGAGAGGAACGCGGGGAGGGAGGAGGAGAGGGGTGGGAAAGAAGGGCGTAGGGAGTGAGAGAGAGAGGGGAGGAAGGAAGGAAGAAAGGAAGGAGGGAGAGGAGTGATGTACGTTTTGAGTCGACTCAAAACACACCTGGAATGATGTACGTACAAGTGTTGAAGGAGAATGAGAGCAGAGAGGGACGCGGGGAGGGACGACGAGAGGCCGTTGTTGCTTGCTGATCTGGGAATTACAGGGGGGTTTAGAAGAGGGAGGGGTTGGGGTGAGTGGGGAAGTGAGTGGGGAAGTGAGCGGGGAAGTGAGTGAGAATGAGAGGAGTGGGGTTGGAGGGGCGAATGGAGGATTATGATTTCAAACATGTAAGAACACAATGGGTGGGTGGGTGGATGGATGGATGGCATGTGCGCTATTGAGGAGAAATGCAAGCATGGCATGGATGGTACGGGCTTTAAGTCAACTCAAATCATGGCATGTGCACAACAAGGGTGAAGTTCAAGCAGATAGCCTCAAGGTTTTGAGCAATTAGTTGACATAGCGACTGAGTGACAGAGGAATGAACGGAAGAGCGATAAAGGCATAGAGGTGTCTCAGGTGTGTCAGGTGTCAGGTGTGTCAGGTGTCAGGTGTGTCAGGTGTGTCAGGTGTGTCAGACACCTGTAAGACTTAGAGCACCGCGTTGACAAAGCGACTGAAGAGCGATAAAGGCTGGCTGGATGGATGAATTTGGTGGAGACGAGGGAGGGAGGGAGCGAAGGAGGAGGAAATTGGAGGTTTGGGAGAAAGGAGGGGCGTTACAAGTATGTGAGGGAGGTGAGAGTCCCCAGGGTTGATGGCAGAGACCCGGAGAGTGCGTTGTTGTCCAGCGCACTGTATAGGCATGGGTAAGCATGGAGAGTGTGTGTGCGGGGAGGGCATTCACAACACAACCGTGACGATATTGGGGAGGGGGAGCATGGAAGGAAATTGCCCACTTTCTTTCACATGTATTCGCTCACCCTAAATCCTGGACACGCTGTCTACAGGATTGTTCTAAACCCCGCACGCACCTGTCTGCAGAGAGCGTTACTCAAAACTAGCAGTCTGAGGTTCTGACACGTGTTCTGAGAGCGAATACTACAATGTGTTCTGACATGCCTCACGCGTTGCTCTAAGCCTTACTTACAGGTTTCTGAGGGCTGGAAGGGAGAGGGTGGAGGGAGTGGATCCTGTGAGCGTGTTGCTCTGTAGAGATCTGTTGAGAGGGGCGACAGGTGCAAGAGGGAGGGGTGAGAGAGACGAGTGGGGCTTTTTAGTCGACTTGAAAATCGGAAGGGAGAGGGTGGAGGGAGTGGATCCTGTGAGCGTGTTGCTCTGATGGGACCTGCAGTGCAGCAACGGAGAGGTGAGGGGTGAGAGGGGTGAGAAGTGAGAGGGGTGAGGGGTGAGAGAGACAAGAAGGGTGAAAGGGACGAGAGGGTTGAGAGACGGAGAAGAGGGGTGAGTGAGCGAGAAGAGGGATGAGAGAGAGGGACAAGAGGAGAATAAGATGTTTCTGAGAGATCTTGACAACGAGAGGGGTTGGACCTCGCAACAACGCCTTGCAAATAGAGACAACAAGATTCTGTTCTGACTCACAGGCGGTAGAGGAGAGAGAGGCTGCTTAGCTGCGATGGGATGGAGCCTGTAATCATGTTGCCCCGCAGGTCGCTGTGTGAAGGGAGATAGTTGAAGGGGGAGAGAGAGGAGGGCGGAAAAAGTGTAATTTTTTAGTCGACACAAGATGCTCAGTTGACACAAGATGCCCACCAGGATGCTCAGTTGCGAGGGGATGGAGCCTGTAATTATGTTGCCCCGCTCGTCACTGGGAGGCGGGAAGAGAGAGAAACAAAGTGGGGAGAGAGGGGGCAAGAGAGAGAGAGAGAGAGAGAGAGAGAGAGAGAGAGAGAGAGAGAGAGAGAGAGAGAGAGAGAGAGAGAGAGAGAGAGAGAGAGAGAGAGGTGCATGTGAATCGAATCTTGATACAACAGGATGCTGAGTCGCGAGGGGATGGAGCCCGCGAGTGATTGGGCGACATAATCTTGATCGCATGTGAGTCGCGAGGGGATGGAGCCCTCGATTATGTTGCCCTGCAGGTCACCACTGGGGAATGGGATTGGGAGGGAGGGGGGAAAGGGGTGTGAGAGGAGAGGAAGAAGGGTAATGAAATGAAAGTTTGCGCCAGGTTGGCCAATGATGAAGAATTGCGATGGGATGGATTCCGCAATGATGTTGCCCAACTCATACCAGATGCTACCCCTCATTCAGATGGTATGAGTTGGGCAACATCATTCAGAAATATCTGCCAAACCCCTCATACAGATACTACCTACCCACAGGGTTCTGAGCTGCTTTAACAGGCCTATGGCCGATGGTGTATTCTATACTCTTACCAAACCAAACACCTCTTCTCAATGCCCAGATCATTCTGAGCTGCTTGAGCAGGCCTATAGACGAAGGGATGGGACGGTGTGCGTGTCACATGCGCTTACTAAGCCCCTCGTTTCGTCTCACTACCCACATTATTCTGAGCTGCTTGAGCAAGCCTATAGACAATGGAATGGGACGTGCGTGTCACATACGCTTACCAAGCCCCTCGTCTCGTCCCGCTCACTACTACCCACATTATTCTGAGCTGCTTCAGCAGGCCTATGGACGATGGGATGGATCCGCTCAGGCTGTTGAAGGCAAGTGAACTGCGGGGGGGCGTGGTCACGAGAGGAAAAGAGGGGAGGGGATGGTGAGAGGGAATGAGGAAGAGAGAGGGGATGGAATGGAGGTTGGGCGTGAAGCGGGATCTCTGAGACAGGGTTTGGGGTTTGTATGCGCCTTGACACCGAGCGAGATACTCACAAGTCTATAGACGCCTCAAAAGCCGATTTTTGAAAGCTATCAAGAGTCAAGAATACTCACAGCTGGGTTAGGTTAGTGAGCTTGCCAATGGCAGCCGGGATGGATCCGGTCAAAAGGTTGTAGTCTGCTCGCCTGCGATAGGGATTGTGGCAAAGGAAAGGGGGACGGGCGGCATGCATTGGAATGTAGTGGAGGGGCGGGCGGCATCCACTGGGACGTGGCAGAAAGGGGCGGCATGTGTTCAGGTTAGGACGAAGCGGCATGAATTTGGAGCATTGAACAAATGGGTGGGGGATAGAGTCCGTCCGTGTGTGCATGAGTTCGTGTGTGCATGAGTCCGTGTGTGCATGAGTCCGTGTGTGCATGAGTCCGTGTGTGCATGAGTCCGTGTGTGCATGAGTCCGTGTGTGCATGAGTCCGTGTGTGCATGAGTCCGTGTGTGCATGAGTCCGTGTGTGCATGAGTCCGTGTGTGCATGAGTCCGTGTGTGCATGAGTCCGTGTGTGCATGAGTCCGTGTGTGCATGAGTCCGTGTGTGCATGAGTCCGTGTGTGCATGAGTCCGTGTGTGCATGAGTCCGTGTGTGCATGAGTCCGTGTGTGCATGAGTCCGTGTGTGCATGAGTCCGTGTGTGCATGAGTCCGTGTGTGCATGAGTCCGTGTGTGCATGAGTCCGTGTGTGCATGAGTCCGTGTGTGCATGAGTCCGTGTGTGCATGAGTCCGTGTGTGCATGAGTCCGTGTGTGCATGAGTCCGTGTGTGCATGAGTCCGTGTGTGCATGAGTCCGTGTGTGCATGAGTCCGTGTGTGCATGAGTCCGTGTGTGCATGAGTCCGTGTGTGCATGAGTCCGTGTGTGCATGAGTCCGTGTGTGCATGAGTCCATGTGTGCATGAGTCCATGTGTGCATGAGTCCATGTGTGCATGACTTTTGAGTCGACTCAAAAGCGGCATGGATTTGGAGCATTGAACAAATGGGGGGGGGGATAGAGTCTGTGTGTGCATGGCGCATGGATGGGTGGTATGGGGGGGATAGGTGCATGGGTGCATGGCAGTGCATAGGTACATGGGTGCATGGGTGCATGGGTGCATGGGTGCATGGGTGCATGGCAGCGGCATTACAGTGTGGAGAGCGAGGAGAGTGCGGAGATGCCCGCTGGTATGCTTCCTGTAAGCTTGTTCCACTCTATGCTCCTGCGAGGGAGGTGTGGGGGGGAGCAGAGGGGAGGGGTGGAGCAGGGGAGAGGGAGGGTGGAAAGGGGACACTGAGACCTTGAGTCTCCCACTCGTGGTTCTTTTATGCTACGGAATCGCGTCTGACAGAATCCTACCGGACAGTATCACACCAGTCAAATCTGAACCGCATGGCACAGATTCCTATCGGACGATATCGCATCCTATGGAACAGAACCGGGCCATACGGAACGAATCAAATCAAATCGTACAGAATCTTGAGCTTCGAGAGAGTGGTGAGCCAGGGCGGCAGCGCGCAGGAGAGGTTGTTGCGGCTGAGATGCAGGTTGAGCAGCGCGGTGAGAGTGGTCATGGTGGGTGGGAGTGGGCAGGAGAGGTTGGAGGACACAGACCTGCGAGGGTGTGGGATGGGCGCGCATGGGGTGTGGGGGGTGTGGGTGAACAGAGAGGCAGCGCGCAGGAGAGGTTGTTGCGGCTGAGATGCAGGCCGAGCAGAGAGGTGAGCGCGGCCATGGTGGATAGGAGCGGGCACGAGAGGTTGGAAGAGACGGACCTGCGTGGGGGTGTGGGGCAGGTGGGTGGGTGGGTGGGTGGGTGGGTGGGTGGGTGGGTGGGTGGGTGGGTGGGTGGGTGGGTGGGTGGGTGGGTGGGTGGGTGGGTGGGTGAGTAGGGAGAGGGATAGGGGAGCAGTGGGAAAAGGGTTGATGCGACTGCGATGCAGATTGGTCGGCGTGGTGAGAGCGGTCATGGTGGATAGGAGCGGGCAGGAGAGGTTGGATGAGACGGACCTGCGTGGGGATGGGTGGGGTGTGGGGTGGGGGTGTTGTGGGGGCGGTGGGGGTGCAGAGATAAGGCTAATGTAGGAGGGAAATGATGGGACGATGATGGGAAGATGATCGAGGGTTGAGAGGGGAGAGATGCAGGGGAAGGGGAACGGGAGGAGTGGGCTGAGTGGGGTACTGCAGTGGGCTACTGGAGATCACACAGCAGAGGACTGAAGGGAGATGCAGAGTGGTGCAGAGCGGTGAAAGGGCATACTCACAGTGTGGTGAGAGCAGTGAGGTTGCCAATTGCAGAGGGAAGCGTGCCTGTGACGCTGTACAGAAGACTGGGGGGGAGAGAGAGGGATAGATAGAGGCACAGGAAAGCACACGTATGGGTATGTGAGTTGTAAGGTGGGGACACTCAAGGTGATAGTATGTGAGCAGCAGCACTCACAGGGAGGTGATGCTGCCTTGCTCATCGCAGCGTACGCCATACAGGTCGTCACAACTCCCCCAAAACGCCCACAACGCCTTGGGAACTCAGTGTAACGGGAGTAACAGAGCAAGAGCGTGAAGAAGGCAGAGAGCAGCACTCACAGGGAGGTGATGCTGCCTTGCTCATCGCAGCGTACGCCATACAGGTCGTCACAACTCCCCCGGGACGCCCACAGCGCCTTGGGAACTCAGTGTAACGGGAGTAACAGAGCAAGAGCAGCAGAGCAGCACTCACAGCGACGTGACGCTGCCCTGGTCGTCACACCGCACCCCATACAGCCCCTCGCAGCTCCCCCGGGATGTCCATAGCGCCTTGGGCGTGCGCGAGGCGGGCACTGTGAAGTTGAGCTCGGCGCGCAGTGAGAGGAGTGCCGCCCCTGGGGAACACGGAGGGCGGGGGAAGGTTGGGGGAAAAGGTGGGGGGAAGATGGAAAATAAGACCCGAGCCTTGGATGTGCGTAAGACGACTGCAGTGAAGCTCAGCTCGGCGCGCAGTGACAGCAGCGCGGCCCCTGGGAGGCGCAAGGGGAGGAAGGGGAAAGGGGGAGGCGGGGGAAGAGGGGGGGGTAGAGGGGATGGGTGGGCGGAGGGCGATAGGGACAGAGCGCCTTGGGTGTGCGCGAGGCGGCCGCGGTGAAGCTCAGCTCGGCGCGCAGCGACAGCAGCGCGGCCCCTGAAGGGCGCACGGGGGGTGGGGAGAGGGGCGCGATTTGAGGCGTCTCAAGACTCATATCCCGCGTATGCAGCCGGAATTGGCGGCGAGAGGCTCACAAGAGCGACAATTGTCAGGTTTCGCCGACTTACAGTCGTTATAGTTGACGGCGACGGCGCTTGCGCGGCCGCAGAAGCCGCCGCTCATGCCGGCGACGAGCAGGATCGCGAACGTCGCCGCTAAACGCGCCGACAGACGCGGCGCGCAGATCAGCTCTTCGGCGCAACGGAGCGCCGGCGCGGGGAGAGTTCCTCCCCGCGCGAGGCGGCAGGTCATGGCGGAAGAGGTGAGCGAGGTGGCGCGGGGAAAGCATTCCGCGGAACCTGGGGAACGCCGCGAGTTGAGGGACCTTTTCTGGGCGAGGGCGGAAAGCGCCCACGGGGAAGAACACGCGGAAAGATCTCCCCCGATCGAGACGGGGAGGCGCTGGAACCGCCGCGTGGCTGCTGCGCCGAACCTGTCGCCGCGACAAGATGCCATGATCTGGTATGCTGGAAGCGCATTAGCCCGCGGCGCGCGGCAGAGTGTAAGCCATGTGTAGACTCGTTCTAAGACTGCGCATTGTCTTTCATTAGTTGGGTCAGCTACAGTTCCACCGATGCCATAGTCAAGGGTCCTGGCTCACGCGCTGCGACATCTTGCGACAGTTTGCGAAACTAATCATGGTAAGCGATGAAACATCGCCGCGCGTGAAGAAACGGCGCCAACCACGGGGTCGTTAACTTGAAGACGTGCCAGAACCCTAATGCTGAGAAGCTTTGAATTTGGCTTCAATCGCAGCGGCTCGTCTGTCTCCGACGAGCTGCTCACGTTCTGTACTGAACTGCGCAATGCGCATTCGCAGCCCCTTACCAAAGCACGATGACCGGGTTCCAACCCAAACTGCGGAGATGAAAGGCAGCGCTTTAAAGCTTACGATTCAAGCGCTTCGGGAGAGTTTAAGTGCAACAGCTGTGGCTGTCTCTGAAACGACAGGCGGGATTGGCGGGTGTGAGCGAGCGCAGTTAGTCCGTTCCGGAGCGCGGGACGAGAAGGGGTCGGAAGAGGAATGCCGGTAGCACGTCAAGCATGGCGGTTTGGTACGTTTTGGTTCGGTTTGGTGTGGTGTGAAGTCCAAACCAGCTGCATCAGTGAAAAAGGGCTGTGTTGTGTACTCGAGACTCGGGCACAAGATTCCCTCGACACCATACTCGAACCACCCCACGCAACTCAACAGGATCAAGCCCAACGAAGGGGAACCTCAAATTGCACGAGGCCTGGGTTCATTGTATTCGTTACAGTTCTGACTTTTAAAAGGGTTTGACACGGTTCTTATAAAATTATTGCATTAAAACTTCGGTGTAAGGAGGTTCTTTTTCAAAGACGAGCACGCGGCTCCCTCGCCAACGCCCTTCACGAAATCACGGGCAACCGCACAAATTCATTTGTTTTGGGCGGATTAGCCTTTTGTCGTTTGTAGTCCGGCTTGGGGCCGTGTTTGCTAGCGACGCGCTGAGGGAGGTGGGAAGAGGTGGTGCTTGTTGGAAAGAAATCGAACCGGATCGATGGCTTGTGACTCTGGTGAAGCCAGCTGGCCGACAACTGGAAGAGCTACAAAACCGACAATTTCTACATACAAAAACTGTACTGTACTCATTGTATCTGTAACCCGTCGCGACCGTCGTCGCTTCACGAAAGCTTTCGCGCACGACTAGCCAGCCACTCGTTCTTTCGCCCTAAAACAAAGTGGAACACGTGCGAGATAAAACGCACCATACAGAAGTTTCGCCGTGGATTTATTTCGCATGTGAAGTTGCACACCTGGATCGCGTTGGGGAGAACAACCGAGTAACCACGTTTGTTCCTTGAATGCGAGGAGGGCAGCATGCGTCGAACCTTGGCTGTTGGTGATGCTTGCTGCCGAGTCAATTCCGAAGGCTCACTTCAGTCGAGCGTAAGCCTCACGATAGCCATGACCGCGTTTAGACGGAACTGATAGTATCTTAGCTCGCTAGATTTTCAACGCTGCGTGCTCTACGCAACCAGAAAAGCGCCGTGAGATGCGTGGAAGGCGGCGGCGGGAGGTGCGCGAGGGAGGGGAAGCCGCAACATCTCACGCGCGAAGGCAGCGAAGGGAATGGTGGGCGGAACAAGCGCGGATGATGCGCGGTTCGAGGCGGTCTGTTTCGCTTGACGCGGGGATCATTTCGGGAGCCCTCTTGGTGCTATGCGCGGGCATTCTTCCGCTTCTTCCGCTTTTTCCGCGCGCGGGCGCAGTGCCCATGAGCGCGAGCACCAGTGAGCGGCGCGGGCCGACGGAGAGCTGGGTGCGGTGCGGGGTGCAAGGGAGCGGGGGAGGGGATGAAGAAAGGGAGAGGAGAGGAAAGGCGAGCTGGGGTGCCGGCGCACTTCTCATCATCAAGTCATCTCTCGGCCTGGTGTAGAGAGGGTGTTTTTGAGACGTCTCAAAAACACCCTCCCTACACGTGGCCGGCGCCCTTCTCATCATCAAGTCATCTCTCGCCCTGCACCCTCACCAACCATACTTCTTTTGAGGCGCCTCAAAAGTCTTTTGAGGCGCCTCGAAAGGATGGAGAAAGGGAGAGGAGAGGAAAGACGAGCTGGGGTGCCGGCGCCCTTCTTATCAAGTCATTTCTCGGCCTGCATGTAGAGAGGGTGTTTTTAAGATGTCTCAAAAACGCCGGCGCACTTCTCATCATCAAGTCATTTCTCGGCCTGCATGTAGAGAGGAAGTTTTTGAGATGTCTCAAAAACGCCGGCGCACTTCTCATCATCAAGTCATCTCTCGGCCTGCACCCTCACCAACCATACTTCTCCCCTCTGCCCTCCCTGCCCCCCGCCTACCCCCCCACTCCCCATCCCCTGTACAACACAACACCTCCCCTCTCCCCCAGTCGACACGCTCCTCATCATCAAGTCATCGCTTGGCGTGACTCTCAGCGTGGTGGCACCACGTGGGCGGCGGGCAACACTGCCTGCACCAACACTGCCTGCACCAACACGATCTCACCACCCTTTCTTCTCCCCCTTCTCCCCCCCCAACACCCTCCTGCCCTCCTCTCACCCAGTCGACACGCTCCTGATCATCAAGTCATCGCTCGTCGTGACTCTCACCACGTGGGCAGCGGGCAACACGGCGTGCACTGTCAGCACCCACTCTTCTCCCTCCCACCACCCCCTTCCCCCTCCCCCCCACCTTGCCTCTCTCCCCCCGCCCCCCCCCCCCAGTCGACACTCTCCTGATCATCAAGTCAACGCTCGGCGTGACTCTCACCACGTGGGCAGCGGGAAATGCAGCATGCACTGTCACAAGCCAGACGCAGCAAGCCGGAGATTGGACGGGCGTGATCTGCTCAACCTCGGGGGACGTGCGGCAGATGTATGTTTGTGTGCAGGCGGGGTGATGTGTGTGTGTGTGTGTGTGTGTGTGTGTGTGTGTGTGTGTGTGTGTGTGTGTGTGTGTGCGTGCGTGCGTGCGTGCGTGCGTGTGTGTGTGTGCGTGTGCGCGCGGGTGGGGTGATGCATGTGTGTGTGTGTGTGTGTGTGTGTGTGTCTGTGTGTGTGTGTGTGTGTGTGTGTGTGTGTGTGTGTGTGTGTGTGTGCGGGTGGGGTGATGCACATATGTGTGTGCGACACTGCATATGTGTGTGCGACAATGCATATGTGTGTGCGACACTGCATGTGTGTGTGTGACACTGCATGTGTGTGTGCGACACTGCATGTGTGTGTGCGACACTGCATGTGTGCGTGCGACACTGCATGTGTGTGTGCGACACTGCATGTGTGCGTGCGACACTGCATGTGTGTGTGCGACACTGCATGTGTGTGTGCGACACTGCATGTGTGCGTGCGACACTGCATGTGTGTGTGCGACACTGCATATGTGTGTGCGACAATGCATATGTGTGTGCGACACTGCATGTGTGTGTGCGACACTGCATGTGTGCGTGCGACACTGCATATGTGTGTGCGACACTGCATATGTGTGTGCGACAATGCATATGTGTGTGCGACACTGCATGTGTGTGTGAGACACTGCATGTGTGTGTGCGACACTGCATGTGTGTGTGCGACACTGCATGTGTGCGTGCGACACTGCATGTGTGTGTGCGACACTGCATGTGTGCGTGCGACACTGCATGTGTGTGTGCGACACTGCATGTGTGTGTGCGACACTGCATGTGTGCGTGCGACACTGCATGTGTGTGTGCGACACTGCATATGTGTGTGCGACAATGCATATGTGTGTGCGACACTGCATGTGTGTGTGCGACACTGCATGTGTGCGTGCGACACTGCATATGTGTGTGCGACACTGCATATGTGTGTGCGACAATGCATATGTGTGTGCGACACTGCATGTGTGTGTGCGACACTGCATGTGTGTGTGCGACACTGCATGTGTGCGTGCGACACTGCATGTGTGCGTGCGACACTGCATGTGTGCGTGCGACACTGCATGTGTGTGTGCGACACTGCATGTGTGTGTGCGACACTGCATGTGTGTGTGCGACACTGCATGTGTGTGTGCGACACTGCATGTGTGCGTGCGACACTGCATGTGTGCGTGCGACACTGCATGTGTGTGTGCGACACTGCATGTGTGTGTGCGACACTGCATGTGTGTGTGCGACACTGCATGTGTGTGTGCAACACTGCATGTGTGCGTGCGACACTGCATGTGTGTGTGCGACACTGCATGTGTGTGTGCGACACTGCATGTGTGTGTGCGACACTGCATGTGTGTGTGCGACACTGCATGTAAGCCAGAAGCAGCAAGCGGGGGAGTGGACGGGCGTGATGTGCTCAACCTCGGGGGATGTGCGGATTCTTCATTGCCTCCCAGAGCTCTCAGCTCTTGTTATTCCTCCTCTGTGCCCCCTCTCTGCTTCCTCTGTCCCACCTCTCTCCCCTCTCTGCTTCCTCTCTCCCTCCTCTCTCCCTCCTCTCTCCTTGCAGCGACCTGGAGAATCAGAAGCTGACTGGAAGCATCCCAAAGGAAATCTCCAAGCTCACTGCTCTCAATCACATGTACGTCATGCCATGCCATGCCATGCCATGCCATGCTATGCCATGCCATGCCATGCCATGCCATGCCATGCCATGCCATGCCATGCCATGCCATGCTGACTCATGTACGCCCTGCTGACTCACATGTACACCATGCTGACTCACATGTACACCATGCTGACTCACATGTACACCATGCTGACTCATACTGCCATACGTACGCCCTGCTGACAACCGTTTCGGCCATGTCAACTCGCATGTGTGAGGCTTAGCTTCGGGTGAAGAGTTCAGCGTGAATCGGATTAAGCTGATGAATGATACAACTATATACTCGTATTTATATGACAAATATATCTATTTATACATACATTCGGGAAGGTGAATTTCACATGAGCCAAGCTGTGCCAGTCAACCCTTCTACCCTTATGCACCTCTTTTCTCGCTCTGATCTGACCACCTGTTCCCCTTCCATCTCTCCTCGTCTTGTCCCCACCACAGAGGCCTGGCCACAAACCTCTCTGTTCCACGGCTACATCCATGTGCTTCTGCTCTTCTAGGCAACCTGCTGCCTTTTGAGACGTCTCAAAAGTTGCTCCCCCCCCTCGTGTTCCCTCCCCCCTCATGTTCTCCCCCCCTCACAGCGACCTGGCCACGAGCCTCTTTGTTCCACGGCTCCATGTGCTTCTGCTCTTCTAGTCTAGGCACCTCAATTTTCTAGTCGACTTATCACACACGGGCTCCATGTACTTCTGCTCCATGTGCACAGAGCTAACCCGGCTTATCACATACGAAACGACTTATCACACCCGGCTTATCACACACGGTTTATCATACACGACTTATCACACACAACTTATCACACACGGCTTATCACACACGGTTTATCATACACGACTTATCACACACGACTTATCACACACGGCTTATCACACACGGTTTATCATACACGACTTATCACACACGGCTTATCACACACGGTTTATCATACACGACTTATCACACACAACTTATCACACACGGTTCCATGTGCTTCTGCTCTACTCTAGGCACCTTCTGTCATGCGTTCCTTTTCTCACGTCTGTTGTTCATCTTCTCTTCTCCCTCCGCACAGGCCTGGCCACGAACCTCTTTCTTTGTTCAACGGCTCGCCGCGCTCACATCCAACCTGCTGTGCTGTGCTGTGATGTGATGATATGTGATGTGTTCCCTTCCTCCCCCTCTGTGTCCCCTCCACCTCCGTCTTCCTTCCCCTCTACCAAGGCCTGGGCACGAACCTCTTTGTTCAACGGCTCGCTGCGCTCACATCCAACCTTCTGCCGCTCCTCCTCCTCCTCTGTCTTCTCTGTCTTCTCTCCCCCTCCTCATCTGACTTCTCTCCCCCCACCACAGAGGCCTGGCCACGAACCTCTTTGTACAACGGCTCGCTGCGCTCACATCCAACCTTCTGCCGCTCCTCCTCCTCCTCTGTCTCCTCTGTCTTCTCTCCCCCTCCTCATCTGACTTCTCTCCCCCCACACAGAGGCCTGGGCACGAACCTCTTTGTTCAACGGCTCGCCGTGTTCACATCCAACCTGCTGCCCCTCACTCCCCTTGCTGACCTGTGCGTGCTGCTCCTCTGCTCTTCTGTGCTGTGCCGTGGCGTGCCATTCAGTGATTTGCCGTGTGCGCTGCTGGTTGTGATGCTGATTTGCCATGTCAACTGCCGGTTGCTGTTCTTCTCATCCCTGAAGTTCCTTGCTCTTCATCATTGCCCATTGCCCTGTGCCTGCAGCGTCCTGTCCCCCGCCCTTTTCCCTGCCTTTTGAGTCAAATCAAAAGTCACCTCGTTACAATGGCACACAACTCTTTCTCTTCAAGGCCTGCTTTTCACCATTGCCCTTTGCCTGTGGCGCCCCCGCCCTTTCCCCACCCGGAACATCGCCCTCTGTCCCTGTTACAGGCATATTCACCAGAACTGGCTGTATGGCACAATTCCCACCGCCCTCATTGCCCTTCCCAACCTCTACTGGATGTGAGTCAATCTCGTCAACTGTCCACCTGTCCACTTGTCCATTGTCGAATCGCCCTTCCCAACCTCTACTGGATGTGAGTCTATGTGGTTGCAGGAGGTATCAGAGATTGATCTAGTTTTTCGTTATTTGCTCCTTCTGTGATTCAGTACTTAGATATGCTTATGAAACATTCCTTCCCTACCCTCTGTGATAAGTTGAGTTTTGAGTCCACTCAAAAGTAGACATGCTTGTGAACCTTATCCCCCACCCTCAGTTTTCCCCTATCATTTCCCTCCCCTCCCCTTCCCAGCCCCCGGCCCCACCCTAAAATACTTCAACTTGCACCATAACTTCCTCTCAGGCCCCTCCTTTTTGAGGCGCCTCAAAACTGAGACGATTTTTGAGGCGCCTCAAAATTCCCTCCCCTCCCCTTCCCAGCCCCCGGCCCCACCCTAATACTTCGACATGCAGCATAAGTTCCTCTCAGGCCCCTCCTTTTTAGTTCCTCCCACAAACTCCCCGATCTTACCCCCCACTCGCCCTGCCCTTTCCCTCCCCTGCCCTTCCTCCCCCCTTCACCAAGTTTTTCCGCAATCACCTCACAGGAACCTTCCCAGCCCCCTGTCCCGCCCTTACCTTCCTCACCCCCATTCCCTCCCCTGCCCTTCCTCCCCCCTGCAGCAAGTTTTTCCGCAAAAACCTCACAGGAACCTTCCCAGACCCCGGTCCCGCCCTTACCTCCCTCACCCCCATTCCTTCTAATTTGTGCCCTCCCCCTCCCCCATCCCTCCCCTGCAGCAAATTCTTTCGCAATTACCTCACAGGAACCTTCCCAGCCCCCGGCCCGGCCCTGAAATTCATCGACCTGCAGCACAACTTCCTCTTCGGCCCCTTCCCCCCTCACTCCGCCACATACTGCACCGCCACCAGCAACTGCTTCTCCCAGGCCTCCCACTGCAACTCCACCGCTACCACCCAGCGCACCGCATCCTCCTGCTCCATCTGCAACGTAACCATGACTACAGATGCCACAGGCGCAGGGTGGGTGGTACCTGCTGCAGGGTCCTCCCAGGTGCTATGTGGGGGAGGCTCATGTGCGCCAAACGCCACAGTCCCTTTCAGCCAGGGGGCGCCGTATACCGCCTCGTCTCCGCTGCTGCCCATGTTCTGCGCTCTCGTCGGCATGGCCTCGGGATCATCGCAAGCCATGCTGGCCCTCAAGGCCACCCTGGGGGTGACGCTCTCCTCTTGGACCTCCGTCCCTACTGTGACCGTTATGGGGGTTGTTTCAACTTCTGCCTCCTTCCCCACCGCCTCCTCGCCCTCCGTGGCGTATCTCTGTCTGGTGGTTGGGGCCTTGGCGGCTCCTATTCCCGCGTCGGCTGCTGCTAGTGCGTGGAAGGGCGTCGAGTGTAATGCAGCCGGTGCAGTTGTGAAGATGTGAGTGTAACGAGCAGAGGACTGTAAACGGATGTGAGTAAAGAGTCGAGTGTTGTAAAGAGTGGATTGTGGTGCTCTTTCTCTCCATCTCCTCCTCGCCCTCCCTGGCGTATCTCTGCCCGGTGGCTGGTGCGTTGGCTGCTGCCATGCCTGCGTCTTCTGCTGCGAGTGCATGGAAGGGCGTCGAGTGTAATGCAGCCAGGGCAAATGATGTGAGTGTAAATAGCAGATGACTGTTGTACTGTCCTTTTCCTCCTCTTCGCTCTTCTGAGCCCCTTTCTGAAAATGCTGGAAGGTTGCTGTGCTGCTGCTGCCTCCTCTGTTGCTGTCTGCCGCTGCTACTGCTACTGCTACTGCTACTGCTACTGCTACTGCTACTGCTACTGCCGCTGTTTCTGTTATCTCTCTCCGCCACCACCCCTTCACTCCACCACCCCTTCACTCCACCACCCCTTCACTCCACCACCCCTTCACTCCACCACCCCTTCACTCCACCACCCCTTCACTCCACCACCCCTTCACTCCACCACCCCTTCACTCCACCACCCCTTCACTCCACCACCCCTTCACTCCACCACCCCTTCACTCCACCACCCCTTCACTCCACCACCCCTTCACTCCACCACCCCTTCACTCCACCACCCCTTCACTCCACCACCCCTTCACTCCACCACCCCTTCACTCCACCACCCCTTCACTCCACCACCCCTTCACTCCACCACCCCTTCACTCCACCACCCCTTCACTCCACCACCCCTTCACTCCACCACCCCTTCACTCCACCACCCCTTCACTCCACCACCCCTTCACTCCACCACCCCTTCACTCCACCACCCCTTCACTCCACCACCCCTTCACTCCACCACCCCTTCACTCCACCACCCCTTCACTCCACCACCCCTTCACTCCACCACCCCTTCACTCCACCACCCCTTCACTCCACCACCCCTTCACTCCACCACCCCTTCTCTCCCCTTCGTGTTTCATGGTTACCACTCCCATCCCCTTCGTGTTGCATGGTTACCACTCCCATGCACCACACCACAGCAATCAATCTCAACCAAGCGAACTTTGAGTTGATTTTTTAGCAGCAATCTGAACCAACCGCCCCATCTCCTCTCACCTTCCCTGCTCCTTTTCTTCGCTGCTTGTTGCAACCCTACCACTTCCATCCACCACACCACACCAATCTCAACCGCCAAGGCCTCATTGGAACCGTCCATTCCAACAACTCAAGCATCTCCGATGTCTGCTGCTTTGGCTGAATCTCTCCCCCACAACCCCTTCCCTCCCTTTGCATATCGCATGCTTACCACTCCCATCCACCACACCACAGCAATCTCAATCGCCAGGGCCTCATTGGGACCGTCCATTCGAGCATCTCCAAATTGACGGGGCTCACATACATGTATGTTGTGTGCATGCATGCGCATGTGCCTTTACATGCATGCGCATGTCCCTAAACATGCATGCGCATGTGCCTATACATGCATGCGCATGTGTCTATACAAACATTTGCATAGACATATGCATGCTCGCGCACACATGTACTATGTATTTACGCATGTATGCAGTGCAGCGTATGAGCGGGCGGTGCAGCATATGAGCATGCGGTGCAGCGTATGAGCATGCGGTGCAGCGTATCAGCCTCACCCACAAACATCACGAAGCGCATCCCCATCATGCTCCCTCTGCTCAACTGCTCCTTCACTCTACCGCTTTCATCACCAGGCCACCCTTGTTCTCACCTTGCCCGTGCGAAAAGGGTCCCTATACGGAGTCATTTTGTTCTCGCTATACATTGTCTCACCCACAAACATCACAAAGCACAGCCCTGTGCTCTCTCTCTGCCAAACTGCTTCTTGTCTCACCTCGCCATAGTCACATCCGCCACAGCCCCACTGTCCTGCCTTTCTGCTCAACTAGTCATTCTCACCTTGCCGGTCCGCCTGGGGTCCCTATACGGAGAGTAGTCCCCAAGCCGGGACTGCAGCTCCAGTCCCCAAGCCATGAGCGGGCGGTGCAGCGTATGAGCGGGCGGTGCAGCGTATGAGCGGGCGGTGCAGCGTATGAGCGGGCGGTGCAGCGTATGAGCGGGCAGTGCAGCGTATGAGTGGGCGGTGCAGCGTATGAGTGGGCGGTTGAGTGTATCAGTGGGCGGTGCAGCGTATGAGCGTGCGGTGCAGCATATGAGCGTGCGGTGCAGCGTATGGGCGTGCAGTGCAGCGTATGAGCGGGCGGTGCAGCGTATGAGCGGGCAGTGTATGAGCGGGCGGTGCAGTGTATGTTCGTGGGGTTCAGCGTATGAGCGTGGGGTGCATGCATGGTATGTATGTATGTTAGCACGCCCGCACACACACACACATTATCATGTGTGCCCTGCTTTGTGTACTCATGTGCCACAATCTTATTCTCTCGTCTCATGCTCTTGTCTCATTCTCTCGCCTCATTCTCTCGTCTCATTCTCTCGTCTCATTCTCTCGTCTCATTCTCTCGTCTCATTCTCTCATCTCATTCTCTCGTCTCATTCTCTCGTCTCATTCTCTCATCATATTTGCTTGTCTTATGCTTTTTATGCTCTTCTCCCCACGCCACACCCCTTCCATCCATGCTATCCCCAGGCACCAACTTCTTTCACTACCATCTCTCTTCACTCGCCTTTCTTCACTCGCCTCTCTTCACTCGCCTTTCTTCTCTCGCCTCTCTTCATTTGCCTCTCAACCATGTAGACTGGATGAGCTGCAGTCGGGAAGTCACTTTTAGCAAAAGAAAGACAGTAGTCACTTTTATCTGTATGTTGTACCCTGCTAAGTGCCAAGAAAATCAAGAAAACCGAACTCTCGATTCCACTAAAGAGATTAAACGCAAACATGTTTCGGCTGACTGGGACACGCCCCGAGGAATGAAGACTTGGACCACTTGGACTTCTCTAGGTGGACCAGGATTGGCTGACCAGATTTTCGGCCACGGTTGCTCTAGCCTTGATTTTTGGTTTCCGGAACGTAGTGTTTGCCTAAATGCTTCGTTTTCACTCTCTTCTTCATTTCCGCTAGCACTGATGAAGGTTTGACGTGGGGCCTGTCCCAGTCAGCCGAAACATGTTTGCGTTTTAATCTCTTTAGTGGAATCGAGAGCTCGCCTCTCTTCATTTGCCTCTCTTCTCTCGCCTCTCTTCATTTGCCTCTCTTCTCTCGCCTCTCTTCATTTGCCTCTCTTCTCTCGCCTCTCTTCATTTGCCTCTCTTCTCTCGCCTCTCTTCATTTGCCTCTCTTCTCTCGCCTCTCTTCATTTGCCTCTCTTCTCTCGCCTCTCTTCATTTGCCTCTCTTCTCTCGCCTCTCTTCATTTGCCTCTCTTCTCTCGCCTCTCTTCATTTGCCTCTCTTCTCTCGCCTCTCTTCATTTGCCTCTCTTCTCTCGCCTCTCTTCATTTGCCTCTCTTCTCTCGCCTCTCTTCATTTGCCTCTCTTCTCTCGCCTCTCTTCATTTGCCTCTCTTCTCTCGCCTCTCTTCATTTGCCTCTCTTCTCTCGCCTCTCTTCATTTGCCTCTCTTCTCTCGCCTCTCTTCATTTGCCTCTCTT